CTATCCATCTGCCCAGCTGATCACTTGGGCCTGCCCCCTCGCCACCCACCCCATCTCCGGGGGCTGGGGCTGCTGTGCCATGGGCTGTTCCCCAGCTGCCCCACCCCAGAGGTGGCTGCATCTCAGCACCAGGTGCTGACCCACTGGGTCTGTCTTGCAGGTGGATAACTCCTCTCTGACGGGGGAGTCCGAGCCCCAGACCAGAGCCCCCGAGTGCACCCACGAGAGCCCCCTGGAAACCCGGAACATCGCCTTCTTCTCCACCATGTGCCTGGAAGGTGCCAGCAGGGACGGGCTCAGAGGGCAGACCTGGTTGGCCATCCAGGCTGGCCCCAATGACCCAGCTAGAGCTAGGGGGTGCTCAACGCAGGGCCCAGGGCAGGGCTCTCCCCAGCCATCAGGGTCGGCTCCAAGACCCCAGCCTGAGTAGAGGATGGGGTGTTTCAGTGGCAGGCACTCTCTAAATTCCCTCCTGCACTGTCAACTGGATATGAGAGGCTCCTCCATCCTGTCCTAAATCATTGTGCCATGTTTTAGTGCAGCTGTTTCCCAGCTGCCCCACCCCAGAGGTGGCTGCATCTCAGCGCCAAGCCAGCATCTCTGTCTGGTGTTATGTGTGGCTGTTTCCCAGCTGCCCCACCCCAGAGGTGGCTGCATCTTAGCACTGGGCAAGCTCTCCCCAGGATCCTTTGTGACTGAGGCCGTGTGGGTCACCGTGTAGCTTTATCCCTCCCCACTAGGCACTGCCACCGGCATCATTGTTAACACCGGAGACCGCACCATCATCGGGCGCATCGCCAGCCTGGCCTCGGGCGTGGAGAACGAGAAGACGCCCATCGCCATCGAGATCGAGCACTTTGTGGATATCATCGCCGGCCTGGCCATCTTCTTCGGGGGCACCTTCTTCGTCGTCGCCATGGTGATCGGATATCCCTTCCTCAAAGCCATGGTCTTCTTCATGGCCATCGTGGTGGCCTACGGTGAGTCCCCCTCGGCCGGGGCCCGACTCTGAGCCGCGCTCACAATGGACCCGATCCAGGTTTTGTCCCAGTCCGGCCCCACAGCTGAGCCAGCCAGTTTTCTTTCAGGTTCCTCCTGACTCCAGTCCAGTTTCACAGAATATCTGGTCCAGGTTTGAGACCCGGTTTGTAGCCCATCTCACTTCATACTGGGGCCAGTCCACGGACGCCAGTCCAGCCGCACACCAAATCCAGACCAGATTCAGTGCCGTGAGCCAACCGACTTTGAACCAGTTTCATACCAGATGCAATCCAGGTTTCACGCAGCCTTTAAGATGATTCCAATCTAGTCTCAGTGTGGATCCAGTGCTGATTTTAAGCACTATTTTTAGACTGACTCCAATCTGGATCCAGTCTAGGTTTTCAGTCTCACTCTAGATCAGCGGCTCCCAAACTTTTCAGCATCACACCTCCTTTTTGATTTTTGAGGACCCTCACACCCTCCACCCCCAGCAGCAAAACTTGTTGAACAACAAAAAAAAAAAGAACTGACCGGGGTCGAAAAACAAAAATAGCAGCAAAACTTGGGGGAGAGGGAGGAATTGATGGGGGGGAGCTGGGTCACCTCACACACACACCCTGGAATTTCTTCACACACCCCAGTTTGGGAACCCATGCTCTAGATCCCAATCAGGTCTGGTAGTGTTTAGACTGATTCTGGTCTCCTGTAACACTGGACTCTGTATACAGTAACTCAGTTCCGTCTTACACACTGAATCCAATTCAGATTTTCTAAATAATTTGAGTCAAAGATCATTTCACATTGGCTCCAGCCCAGTCTGTGATTCAGCCAGTTTGGGATTCCAATCGGGATTCACAACAGATCCAGTCCAGATTTTGCAGTGTTTGGACTAACTCCCAATCCAGTTTCACACTAGATCCAGCCCAGACTGGGTTCAGCATTCTATCTGGATTTCCCCTGCTCCTCAGGTTGCAAGTCGTGTTTCGATGGTCTCCAATCCAATTCAAGTTTTCGACGGAGCTCAGATTAGCTCAGATCTAGGCTCACACTGCATCTAGTATAGTTTTTGCACAATAATGTTTATACCAACTCTGATTGTGTTTCACATTGAATCCAGTCCAGATTGTGGGCAGTGTTTCAACTGACTCTAATCTGGTTTCATACTAGGTTCAGTCCAGATTGTGTGCAGTTTCCTACCGACTGATCTGGTGTCACACTGCATCCACTTCAAATTATGTACCCTGTTTGCAGACTCTGATCTTTCCTCCATTCTCCCTCCCTCCCCTGGCAGGTCTGTCTCTCACTCACCGCCAAGCGTTTGGCCCGAAAGAACTGTGTGGTGAAGAACCTAGAGGCTGTGGAAACTCTGGGCTCCACCTCTGTCATCTGCTCGGACAAAACTGGGACCCTGACCCAGAACCGCATGACCGTCTCCCACCTGTGGTTCGACAACCAGATTCACACGGCTGACACCACAGAGGACCAGTCAGGTATGAGTCTCTGTTCAACCAGCCACTGCCATCTAGAGGTGGCTGCACCTAGCGCCGTGTGAGCTGTCCCTGTGCGGCATTATGTGTGGTGGTTCCCCAGCTGTCCTGCCCCAGAGGTGGCTGCATCTCAGTGTCATGTGAGCTGTCCCTGTGCAGCGTTATGTGAGGTGGTTCCCCAGCTGTCCTGCCCCAGAGGTGGCTGCATCTCACATGGGCAAGGATGTGGTGTTATGTGTGGCTGTTCCCCTCTCTTCCCACCCCAGAGATGGCTGCATCTCAGTACCAGGTGAGCCATCTTTGCCCTTCTGGTGCTTTGGGATACTTCAGGTTGGAAGCAGGAGATGGACGTCATCAGCTGTTTATTTTCATTTTCTCTGTCCTTCAGGGCAGAGCTTTGATCAGTCATCGGAGACATGGAGAGCACTGTGCAAGATTGTGTCCCTCTGCAATCGAGCCTTCTTCAAATCAGGCCAGGATAATGTGCCGGTGCCCAAGGTACGGCCGCGTAGCCAGAGAGACGAGACAGGCAGCACCTACTGCTTGGTCCAGTATCTTTTAATGGGGACCAGGGCTGATCCTGACCCCCTGAGCAGTGTTAGGGGGCACACGGGGCGAGGTTACGGAGGCTCAGTATATTCTGCCAGGGTGGGTCACTAAAAGATCCCATGACTCTAGTCTCAGTAATCAGGGTACTTCCCCCTGCCATAAACTGGCCAGCAGTGCCACTGTGTGGTTGTTCCCCAGCTGCCACGCCCCAGAGTTGGCTGCATCTCAGCGCTGGGCGAGCCCCCCCCCCACCGGTTCGCGTGC